ATTAATAGATGATAAAAGATTTCTCCGAAAATGCAAAAGTACAAGAAAATCAAATGTAAGCATGCATTGCAGAATATTATGAGCACCACATTTGTTCAGCCGAGTTGCCATTCTCACTTAATTGCTCCAACAGTCCTAGCATTCATCCAGTTTTCATGTACAACTTTTGCCACCTTTTCTCTTGCACTCCACAGTGTTTCTGATTCACGCTTGACAGAGATCTTAAGCTCCTCCTGCAGTTTGTCCCATCGAGTTGTTGAATGAACAAAGAAATTATAAATGGATTCAATTATACCAAAAAAGGTAATAACTGCTGTTTCCTGACTTGCAGCATGAAGACATGCTAAGTTCAAACTATGGTTGTCACAGTTTATAAACACTGCTTTTGAATTTTTTTTTCAGAATTCTTTGTTGAATGCCTGACAGATGACCTGACATAACAGCAGCATTATCATAACATTGTGAAGAACAATCACTCAATAAAATTCCATCTGCTTCTAATTTTGTGCTTATTGTTTTCTCAATATTGGCAGCATCTTTTTCCTTTATCTGTATAAAGTCAATGAATGACTCTTTGACTTCTACTTTTCTTGTCTTAAAGTCAATGTCAAGAAACCGATTCACTTGGGCCAATTGCTCACCTTAGGCTAAATCAGGTGTGGAATCAAACAGAATACCATAGTATTTGTTTCTACGAATTGCTGACAAACAGTAATTTTGCACATATGAAGCCATGAGATTTATAAACTCATTTTGGATTTCAGGAGAAATATGTTGACGTTTGTTTGTTTTTAACACGCTCTAAATGCTCTCTCATTACTGGATCATACTTTGCTAATAACTGCAAAAGTGAAAGGAAATTTCCAGGGTTTTTGTTTGAGGTTATGTCCTCAGTATGACCATGAAATGCAAGATTCTGAGAAGCTAAATATTGTGTACAATCCAGCAACTATCGCAGTACATCTCTCCATTTATTTTTTTCTTGTGGAATTTGCCTTTGCAGCTCTTCATCAATGCCACTTTGAAGACTAATTCGGCACTCAGTTTCTTTCCAAGCAGCAAATGACTCACGATGACTGTCGCTATTTTCATGAGCATTTCTCTTTTCAATTTTTTTTTCACTTAGAGAATCCACCGTGTTTTGAAAGCAGACCGACCATCGGATGTTGTACATGCAGATGAAA